CTTGTGGAGCATTGTCTTCAGGCCCTGAAATCGGGATCTTGTGCTCTATTGTCTTCGTGTCAGAACTTTTGGAACCGACAGCTCACACCACGAAGAACACACACACACACTTATGGATATGCGTACTGACTTGACAGCGGTGCCACACGCCAGCCTAGGTTAGTTAAAAGGCCTGAGGTGTCAGGAAATAGTAGGTTAAAGGCCAACGGATTTGGGTTGGAGGTCAACGCAAGGCTGTTCGGGGCCAAGACCTAAGGTTGGAGGCCATCGCTAGTAGACGGTGGACCATAGACACAAAGTGACAGCAAAAGCAAAGTTGGAGGTCACCGCTAGTAGGTTGGAGGCCAGGGTACCAAGTTGGAGGCGCGGTACCAGGTTACAAAAGCACAAAGTGACAGCAAAAGCAAAGTTGGAGGTCATCGCTAGTAGGTTGGAGGCCAGGGTACCAAGTTGGAGGCCAGCGCTACCAGGTTACAAAAGCGCAAGAAAAAACACAAGACAGTCAAAGTTGGAGGTCCTTGCTAGGGGTGGAGGCCAGGGTACCAAGTTGGAGGCCAGTGCTACAAGGTTACAAGAAGCACAAAGGCACAAGAAGCACAAGACAGCAAGTTGGGGGCCAATCTAGTGGGTGGAGGCCAAAGTTCACCTGCAAACCTGCAGAGTAGCCTAGAGGAAAACAGAAGGAAAGGCGCCGACACGCAAGTGTGTCGAGTACCATTTCCTCCTGTTTTCCTAAACAGCGGAACAGGCACGGAAGTTTGCGTCCAAACTTCCATCCAGTCGACTTCCATAGCTTCATTGGCGTGACTAGGAAATCGACCGTCACGCCCCCTGTTCCAAATCTAATGGTTCCCTTTGATTCCAAGGGTTACACACACACACATGCCTCCCCGAAGGGAGGCGTGTGTGGCCTCCATCCTGCCCGGAAAGGAGGCAAGGCACATGTGCACGCAAAAGGGACAGATGAAAATGAAAAGGACGAGAAAGACAAAGGTGTGTGTGTGTGGTTGCCGACGAAGAAGAACCAAGTGAAGAGGGACAACCGATGAACCAAACCTCTTGGAACGAACCTGGGCCACCTGAACCTCGTTGTAAGTAGAGTACGCGTGCGTGTATGTGTGCAAACTAAGGTCCGGACGATAGTACGCGCAAGAGAAAGAAAGGATGAGGATGAAGAGACATGAAGACAGAAAGACATGAAAGAAAAGAAGGAAAAAACGTCTGTGGGGCCGATGAAAGGGGAACCAAATGAACGGGGACAAACCGATGACAACCCAAACCTCATTAGAAAAACCTGTTGCAGAAGCCTAGTTTGCTTGTAAACACGCCGCGCGCGAGGAAAGAGGGGGGAGGGGAGATCCTGAGTATTCCATTCAGGAAAACCCCAGAAAGCAAAGAAAGAAAGGGGAAGGGAAGGGGGAGGAGGGGGGACTAAGTGCTCGACAGGTTCCAATGAACCTTAAACGTGCTTTGACCGCTATGGTCACCTTGTGCCCTGCCAAAGTGGCTGGCTGCTTTGACCGCTGCGGTCACGTGAAGGCATAAGCCAACTTGGAATTCCAAAAATGAGACAAAATTTGAGGTCTGGTGGCATGAGCCAGCTACTGTCCGCTGCGGACACCTACGTTTCCAAAGCCGGGGGAACACGGACAGACACCCGTTCGACGGGTCCACGGGAGGCACTCTACGGGCTCATCCCGGACTGGCGCGAGGCCAGACACACTTATGGATATGCGTACTGACTTGACAGCGGTGCCACGCGCCAGCCTAGGTTAGTTAAAAGGCCTGAGGTGTCAGGAAATAGTAGGTTAAAGGCCAACGGTTTTGGGTTGGAGGTCAACGCAAGGCTGTTGGGGGCCAAGACCTAAGGTTGGAGGCCATCGCTAGTAGACGGTGGACCATAGACACAAAGTGACAGCAAAAGCAAAGTTGGAGGTCATCGCTAGTAGGTTGGAGGCCAGGGTACCAAGTTGGAGGCGCGGTACCAGGTTACAAAAGCACAAAGTGACAGCAAATCGCTAGTAGGTTGGAGGCCAGGGTACCAAGTTGGAGGCCAGCGCTACCAGGTTACAAAAGCACAAAAAAAACACAAGACAGTCAAAGTTGGAGGTCCTTGCTAGTGGGTGGAGGCCAGGGTACCAAGTTGGAGGCCGGTGCTACAAGGTTACAAGAAGCACAAAAGCACAAGAAGCGCAAGACAGCAAGTTGGGGGCCAATCTACTGGGTGGAGGCCAAAGTTCAGGTTAAAGAACGCCTTACAAAGTTTGGAGAGGAAAACAGAAGGAAAGGCACCGACACACAAATGTGTCGAGTACCATTTCCTCCTGTTTTCCTAAATAGCGGAACAGGTACGGAATTGGCGTAACTAGGAAATCGACCGTCACGCCCCCTGTTCCAAACCTAAAGGTTCCCTTTGATTCCAAGGGTCACACACAAACACACGCACACACCAAGAATTCACACCACCTCGCGCAGATCTCGGATCCTTCTTTGACCCCATGGGCCCATGGACCAGTCGGAGAAAAAGCAGACACGGATCCCGTTCCCCACAGACCGATTTTTATCGACCCCGAAGACGGGCGTCGAGGTGCCGGGAGATCTTTCCACGCTGCCCGCGGAGGAGGTCCATCGCATCGCCTGCCAGGCGTGCCGGACTTCATCGGCAGATGGTCCGTGCGGGAAGTCGTTCCTCTTGTGGCGCCAGGAAAAGCCAGGGAAGCTGGATCCTTCACTTGGGAAGAGGAGGTATAGTTTAATGTTTTTTTGTTTGGCAGAAAAACTTCCATGTTCGGGAACAGTGGGTGTTTATTTGAAGGATCATTAACCATTACATACAGCCGGAAAGAAGCATGGAAGTTTTCCACATCTGCCTGAAAGCAAAGTTGTGCTGAACATGATTCAGGAAGGCTCAAATGTGGCCAGTATGCACACTGCTTCTGCAGCATCAATGGCCAGAGTGGCTTATAGGTGAACTATCACTGGTCAACATGGGAATACGGAACTCCCTTAGGTGTCTTTTCCACGCCAGTTCTTTTTTCCAAACAGTGGTCAAACTAGGGGTTCTTACGCTAAAAGTCAAGGCCGGGTGTTCCATCGGTGGTGCTCATCGGCGTGTGCGGCTAAGCCGCTGCTATTTGCACTACATTCATGCCTCTCGAGATCTTCGAAGTGCATTTCAACTGCGCAGGCTTGTAGAAACTACTGGTCCGCAAGTGGTGTTTTCGTCGACTGCGCTCTCATTGTGATGCCGTACACATTTTTGGCGGTGGTCAGGCCCAGCACTTTGGACACGGTGATGCGCTGTGATTACGTGGCAGGCGCAGTGAATCGTGAGCTTTGGACACGTGGCTCGTTTTCAGAGCTCGGGGAAGTGTCGGGCGACTACGGCAGCTTTTTGAAGCGCCTTGGCAGGGACTGCGTGCTGTGAATCTTGATGTGCAGATTTCATGGCAGGTGCAGCACTTGTGAACGTCGAAGTGCGAGACTTCGTGGCAGGCACAGCGCCTGGTGCACATTGCCACGCTGCCATATCACTACCACTCTACCACTGCCACACTGTCATTACCGCGCTACATTTTCTGCAGACCTTCGGGCTTTTGGCGGGACAGTCTTTTGAGAGACCAGCCAGGTCTACAGATCGCCAAGATCCTTCTCCAGCTCCATGAGTGTAGATCTCCAACGACTGGATCTCTTGTTGCAGAAGCCCATGGGGCCATAGTGTTCCTTCAGGGTCGCCTGCGCCTCTTTCAACGATGCGCCCGGGCCAGGTCTTGGTGGAGAGTTTGCGGCGCGCCACGCGGCTGCAACGGTCGCGGCGTGCGGCTCAGCAGCAGGGCCGGGGTCTTGAGATCCTTGCGAGGAACCAGGCGGGGGAGAACACGTCGCGCGGAGAAACAGATCTAAAAGGGGGGATGAACATTCATGCGTTCATGCAGTCACTAAAACAATCTGAGCCCACTACAAGTGTGGACAGAGCTTCCTTCTAAGACTCCACGTCTTTCACATCTCCGTGGGCTTGCTGATGTCTATCTTGTTTGATTCATGCGGGGTCACTCCCGTGCCAACACCTGGGCGATCGGTTGACTTGGTCCGTCTCCCCATTCCATGAGACCTATCGTGACTCTGACCTCATTCAACCACCCCAAAAACCACTCATATATATGTATATATTTCGCGCTGAGAATTTCTGAAAAGGACTGGCCAATCTCATGGCGGGGTCGGGGAGGGCTCGGAGAACATCTCGGTCGCTCCGTTTTCGGTTGCTGGGGTCGGAGGCGCAAGAGTTGATGCAAGAGCAGCTGCAGCAGGTCAGGGAGAAGACGGTATGTCCGGGTATGTTTGAAAACATGAGACGACGTTTTCATATCATAAATGTATAATATATAGTTATATATACATATATATATATATATATGCGTATGTGCCGTGTACACGTCTCTTTCTGGCTTTGAAGGATTCGAAAGGAGCACGACTGAGTCCAAAGTCCATACTATTTGAGGGCACCACTCCTCCTTTCGATTCATCTTCCAGCCTGTGTTGCATCTCCTCAAGGAGAATTGGTGTGTGCTCTTTAGAAGAATATATACGTTCAGCTTCTGTCGAAGAAAAAGGTTGAGAATGGGCGGCATCCAGTGAACAATTCAGACTCCACCGTACTTCTTCGTGGATAGTTACAAAGCAATAGAGTTTCTGTAGCCCCAAACAGAGTACTTGGCTCGCTGACCGGGTAAGACCCGCAGATTGCACGGGGTGGATGTTCCACCCAAGGTGCAGGCGGAGCTGCAAAACTCGAGGAAGGACAGGGAAAACCTGGAGGCCAGTGAGTTCACTGCATGTTTCTTCTTTCGCTGCATGTTCAGAAGGAGTGTCTTGAGGTTTTGGCATTTTTTTTGTTTCTTGGGACTTTCGGAAAGCCGCCTCCTGGCGTCCACACGCTCTGGTCCTCTAGCGAGACGGGTCGTCTAGTTCGGACAGACAGACGTCGCTCATTGATGCTCCAGGCGGCCAACGAGAAGCTTTCGGAGGAGTTGGCGCAGCTGCGGCGTCAGGTGGGAAGGGGCAGACGTCAGGGAAGCAGAAAACGCAGGGGATGCGGTCTACCTGCAAATAAATTACAGGTCTTCCGCAATTAAGTAATGGGTACTATGGATGCAGGTCCCATCCAGACGATATTGTGCGAATCGGCAAGACATAGACATAGAGACTGAGAAAGGTTTTTGAAAGGAAAGTGTTTCTTTAAAGACATCTAAAGACTAAAGACTCAACTAGACTTTCCTTGGCCCGTTAACTCGATGCCCAGAAAAATGACAGCGCAGGATACATGAAGCAAGAAGGTATTTGATTGGTGCTGGATTGTCAGAGTTCCTTTTGTAGAAAATTCCTCCGAACTGTCAGAGTCTATTTCTAAGGAATCCAATGGATTTACGTGTTATGCCATGCCGCATGCTCCTGATCTTATGTCCGCAGTCTTCAGTCCCTCCGTTCTTCGCGCGGGGACCCCCCCAGGGGCTTCTCGCCACTGTTCCTCGGTGAACCATCTCCACCGATGACGAGGTGGAGCCACCGGACACCGGTGCAGCGTGTGACGCGCAGATGGACGCTCAGCGTGGTGAGGAGGATGCTTCAAGGATCTTGAACGTCTACAAGCAGCAGTCAGGTAAGTTTTGCGCGAGGGGGGCGGGTGGTTTTTACTTTCTTTTTCTACCTGCCAGACTGCCAGGAAAAACCGGAAGTGTCACTGAAAACAGAAGTCGCGCAAGAAAACACATACTTGTCACCTGATCCTGTTCGAAAGACGACTTTTTTCCCAGATGACGTGAAGATGACGACGCCAAGGGTCCCTCCATCGCTTCGATTCGAAACGTCGACCGGTCTGTTCGGCCTTTGGCTTCTCAAAGCCCGGCGCTCTCCGAAGGCTCAGCTCGACCAGTGGAGGAGTTGCAGCAGCTGAGCCGCCGCTTACGCTCCGCGCTGCCGAGCCATGCTGCCAGCATGCTGAGGAACTCTCTGAAACTCATGTCCAGTGAGGCTTAGCTGCGACGGTCACTGGATTTCCAAGGGTCTTTTTTTTCCGGTACGTGGAACAGGGCTGTGATTTTTTGGGATGTGTGGGCTGAACAAGAGGAGAGGGAGATTGTGGAAAAGGACCCAACAACTGTTTTTTCCAGGAGTTTTGCTTGACATGGAGTGCTTTCATCCTCCATGCGGCAGCGTCCCTTCCTCAAAAGCAGGCACAGCCCGGTCAGGTGGAGCACAGGTCGGGATTCCTCTTGCTCCCAAAGAGGTGGAGCGTGGCTCGAGGTCTGTGAGAAGCCGGTTGCCACGGTGTGAACCGCAGGTCGACCTTTCAACAGGGGCAACTCAGAACGCGCGAGACTTCGCCCGCACACACCCGGTCACGAGGAGATGTACAGCGGCCCCAGCCGTGCCTTCTGGGAGTTGCTTCAGAACGCAGATGACTGCAGCTATGGAAGTGCTCCAGCGCTCAAGGTCGCGCATGCGGCCGAGTATCTGTGGTTGGAATACAACGAGGTGCCGGATCCGACGGCCGGGTCGGACGGTGGTTGGGTGGAAGACTGAAGAAGTCGATGCTCTTGGAGTGCTGTAGGTGAGGGATTGGAAAAAGCACGAACATGCTATACTGTTGAGCAAGCACTAGAGGGTCCTCTACCAGTTTTATTTGTCCCGCAGACTGCAGCTCCAGGCTAATCTGAACCTGTCAAAAATCGTTGCAAGTGAGTATCCGTCGTGATCCAAGAATACTGTACCTCTTAACATTCACGTGTGTTTCTTACATTTTTCTCACCACAGAATGCTCATGAGCTTGGACCAAACAGTCTTCCTCGATCGCATCTGCCTGATCGAATAGCCGGCGGAGGTGGGCTTCTCATTTCAAGATGTGGAGGCCCTTTGCAGCCTGGGCACCTCCACAAAAGGCGAAGATTCTGCGGGTCAGTCGGTTGTTGCTGGTTTAGATCTGTAAAGATCTGTAGAGCACGCCACGGGGTCATGATGCCGATGCCCCCCTCAAAGTGATGGACCCCGTCTTGAAGCTGCGGAAGTGCATTCATATTCAATCATTTAAGGTAGGCAGGGTCGGTGATGATGAATTATTTGGGAAGCTTCGAATCAACGTCTCCCAATGTTTGAATGCTCAAGCCAAACTGGGGAGACGCCCCTTGAGGAGCAGTGTCGCTGCTGGTACCTCAAGCTAAACTTTTTCTTCCCGGTTTTTGCCGCCATGGAGAGCGCTGATGCCCAGGTCCGCCGCTCTGCTGAACAGCAGAAGCTGGAGCGGTGGTGCGCCTCGCATGGCATTGAGCGGCCATCCGATCTGGCGTTTTACTTCGTTTCCTACGAAGAAGCGCTGAAGCAAGGCCGCGCCGTGGCAGAGGCCTGGGACCAGGCACGCCGCGAGACGGAGGTCGGCATGGGGGCCCTGGTGCGGGATATTGTCCGTCGTGAACAAGTTTCGCAAGCTGCGCCGCGGCCTACCACATCTCCACCGTTGAGGCCACGACCTACCCCATCATTTGCGGGGCCAGTCAGGCCCAGCACCCAGGGCCGTCAGTCGGGCGGCCCTGACGGCGGTGCCCTGTCCTTTCTGCCCCAGTTGATGGCCATTCTGCTGGCGGTCGAGCCCCCGCCGGCGGCTCGCTTGGCTGAGATCACCGCCAACTTCGAGGCCAAGCTCACTCATGTGCTCCAGAAGGCTGAGGCCGCCACTGTGAAGCGGGCTTTGCACACGTGGCAAGAGCTTCAAGGGGCCATCGCGGCCGCAGGTGGAGGTATCCCGGACAAACACCTCCTGGCCACCTTCATTCGGGAGCACAAGTCACCTACAAGGGTATATACTGCCCTGGGATGGATCGTCCGCAACCTCAAGTTGCCATTCGACCTCTCCGAAGTGGTGAAACCTCGGGCTGGTTTGGGATCTCGCCTCGGCCAGGGGCAGGCGCAGGCGGCGACTTTGGAGCCATCCATGGTCATCCACCTCCTGGGTACCTTGGAGTCCACCGTTGACAATCCTCACTGGCCCATGGTGTTTTGTGCCTACGCCCTATGTTTTGGTGTGGTCAGGTACACCCATTTACAACGGAGCTACTTGGTCGGCGGTAACGGGGGCATCCTCGTGTTCTGGTGCACGAAAGGTAAGACTGGCAGTCGTGGTGGCTTCACCTGGAGCGTTCCGAGGTATTGTGGCACATTGGATCTTCTACAAGTGCTGGGTGCCCATTTGAACAAAGTGCGCCCCAGAACAGGCGCCGGCTTCAGGCGCTGGCATTGGTTGGGGTTCGACTCAGCTACATCCCAGCCGGTGGGTACAGCGCAATGTGTCCGGATCCTACGACCATATCTGAGTGCGGCTATGGACGTTACCAGTCTCTCGTCCTACTCGTTCCGCCGAGTGCTTCCGACTTTGGCAGGGTATGTGGGGTTATCAGAGACGGAGCGACTTGCCCTTGGACAATGGGTGGATCAGTCCTCCAAGTCTACGGCGACCACCCCTCTGCGATATGACTCGCGGAAACAACGCCTGGGACATCAGTTACGCCTGGCCGGTTTGCACTTCTTCCAGGACCTCAACATGGCTTTGTGGGACGAACTGCCGACAGGCTATGCATCTGCACGATGGTCCACTTGCATGGAGGAGGCTGACGAGCTCCTTGCTTCGGACCCCCAGATCCGCCGGGTCTCTACGGACTCCATCCCTGGCATGCCTGTGGTCAAGACCTTGCTGCCGGCCCAGGTCCAGATCATCCGAGCTACTGGTCAACGCCTCACTGCAGCGCTCAGGCGGAAGCGCCCGGCCCCATCCGCGGCTGCCGGCCCGGTGCCCGAGCCCACACAGGGGCCGAGGAACACGGTGTCAACATTCTCGTTCACCAGTCCTTCGCGGCCGGCGAAGCGGGCACGGGTGGAGCCGCCACCCAGGGCTGCTGCTGGAGGTAGCGCCCAACCGGTGACACCGCCCAAGGCACCTCCACCAAAGGTGCCACCTGTGCTGCCCGTGGTTTCGCCCTCATCAGCTTCGGCATCTATTCCACCTTTGCGGGCACCTCCACCTTTGCCATCGACTTCACCTCGGGCATCTTCATCTTCGGCAGCAGCAGGCCCTTCGAGCACGCCACCTTCGACCCCTAAAGTCAAGGCCATGCCCTCCGTGCTGCACCCGTCGCCGGAGCGGCCTCAGCACCTGCAGGAGGCGAATGACGCGGCCTTTGATGCAGCAGCACGGGACCGCTGGCGCCGGCCCGGGCACAGCGGTGCCCCAGGGCCTCCTACGCTCATCTTCCTGGGTGAAGCAGGCAACGGCTCTATCTATTTGGGCGGCCTGCCCACGGACCGGGCCTGGTTGGAGACCCACCACATCGGCATCAGCCTCAGCGCTATGGACAAGATTGCCGCCGACTGTCGGGGAGGGGTCAGCGCTCGCCAGGTCTACCAATTCAATGTTCCTGTTGGTCATCAAGGAGCCCTCCGTGACCGCCAGTTGAAATCGGTGCTGCCTATCTTCCTGGCAACTTTGTATTCTGGCTACTCCGTCCTGATTCATTGCATGGCGGGGGTGCACAGGGCCCCCGTGCTGGCTGGGTTGCTACTCGCATGGATCAGGCGGTGCTCCTTCGAGGAAGCGTATTCCCGGCTGGAGGGATTGCGGGCTATCGACCGAGCCGGTGTGCTCAGCCGGCGGGGCGGCTCTGATATATTCAAGTGGGCACGGAGCCAGGTCAACATCACACCACCGTCCCTGCCGAGGTATCCGATTTCCTTCATTGCCTCCACCAAAGCAGGCTCACACTGGCATGTGGAGCGGGACAATGCGCCCTGGTGTCGATGGCGCCAACGCAACGCTGCTTATCGAGGCGAAGTCCACTGAGCTCGCAGCATTCATGAGGCCTTGGCCTATGGGCGTGATTTCTGTATCACATGTAAAGCGGTGCTCCCTGGCAATGACCAGGTCCACCTGTACTAATAACTGCAGTTCTTCGGAAACAGCACGCCTACCGGGTAGGCCGAGAGGGCGTCTCGTGTGCTATGCAAGTTGTGCATCATAGGGACTCGGCCGCCGGCCCGAGGAGTAGGTCCCTAGTTTGAACGTCGATCGAAATTTTATAGTCAGTTCTGTATGTTTGCTGCAGCTTCTCGTATCCCAGTGAACTCCGGACTACACGACCATACTCTGCGCCAATGGACCGGCCTCAGGCGATCCAGTTCGTTGCCGTGACACTGGCGCCCTTGGAGGGCGAGGCCAGACGGGCCCGTGCTTGGGAGGTGGGGGACCAAATGGACCAGGCCTGTCGGGCCTTGAGGGCCCTTCCCCCTACCTCCACCTCTTGTCTAGGGGTGGTACAGGCTCAGTTACGTGCTGCGCGTAACCTATGTGAATCATGGATCGAATGGTGGGATGAGATCCAAGACCTGCCCAGGGAGGCAGCACGCCCAGAGCCTCGGCTGGAAGGGCTGTTGTGGCCGGCGGCCCCAAGACCTGTACTCTGCCTCCCTACGCCCCATTGGTCCACACTACATGTGATGATTTGGCGCGTCACCATGACCGTCTTCATGAGGCCGATCGCGCATCGTTCCGTCAATTGCTCTATACCGCCCACTACGAGGCCCACGCGGCAAGCGAGGCTATCAGTTGGCCAGCGCTGC